GGCTGGGCACCATCCTAGCCTCTGGCTTGGGCACGAGTCAGATCCAGGCGCTCCCGGGAGGCCACATGAGGCGGTGCTGGCCCAGAAGGAAACTTCGGGCTGCCAGGGACAGCACTACACGCCCCGTTGCCAGAGGAGCTGGTAAGGGCAGCTGCTTCCCAAGGAGGCGCCCCGGGGGAGGTGCTGCGTCTTCCACGCTGCCGAGGAGAGATGCCCGGGGAGCCAGGGGAGGGCCTGGGCCAGGCCAGCCGGGGGTTGGGACACTGACCGCCAGGGCAGGGCTGGAGCAGGAGTCCTGGGGTGCCCCCTCCTCCAGCAGGGACGGACCGGAACCGTGTCCTGGGAGGAGCCGGGGCCGGGTCTGTTGCCTTACCGGAAATTTGGGTTGGTGGGGGGAGCGGGGTTGAGGTTCCTGCCCGTTCTGGTCTCATTGTAACCACAACCCCCCCCCCCCGACATCATTGACTTTTCTGTCTTATTTTCCTTTGCACCTTATTATTATTAGCACACAGTGTCCTTCCTCGAGAGCCCCCCATCTGGGCACACTGCTACCCCCTTGCTGTGCCCTGTCTGGATCTCCCTTCTTCACCTCGAGGATTCTCCATCCACTGCACACCGCAGGTCACTGACCCCTTATTCTGGCTGGTGGGGTCAGGAGAACCGCTTCCCCTGCAGACCCTGCACGGCGGCCCTGTGGCCCAGTCTGCCTCCTCCTCTCCTGCCCAGCTCTTGAGGCCCGCCTGTGTGTGCTTCTGTGACCCTGGGGCTGCCACGGGCCTAGCTCAGAGCTGGGGCTCAGGAAGGGTTGGTGAACCGACCTGAGCAGGGAAGGAGACGGGCTAGCTGCGTGTGGGTGGGGCAGGAGGGCCTTGGTTGACCTTGGCCCTGCACCAGCGTGGCTGTGGGCAGAGACCCTCAGAAGCCTTAGTGGTAAGCGATCCCCAGTGCATAGGGTCAAAGTGGAACCCTCAGAAGGGCCCGGCCTCCTGTGCGCTCAGCCACCAGTGGGTGACTTCCCCATCTGGATAATTAAGAAGCCACATCTAGGGCTGACCGCACCCCTCAGGGAGGTGTGTGGGGGGATGCAGGTGGGGTGAGGGCACGCCTGTGGGAAGTCATGCCTGCTCCTGGAGCACAGGACCAGGACCACCTCAGTACCCGTCCCTCGGGGCTGGCCACACTGCCCCCGTGTGCCCCGCCTCCCCCCCACTGCCGCCTCCCCCTCTCCACGCCCCGGCTGACTTGCCTTGGCCTTGCCCTGGAAGTTGAAGGTCAGCACGTACTCCCCAGGCCGAGTCTCACTCTGGCGGATCACGAAGAGGCCGTGGCTCCGGGGCCCGCCGGCTAGCACCAGCTGAGCTGCCCTGACCCGTGACAACGTCCCGTGGAACCAGGGGTAGTCGGAGAGCTCCAGCTCAGGCTCAGCCTCCGGCTCCGGCTCCGCTCCCTCCTCCCCTGCAGAGGGACGGGAGTGTGAGGGGCGTGGGGGAGCAGAAGGGGTGAGTCAACGAGAGAAGAGATGCCACAGCTTCTTGGGTATTTGCATGTAAAATGCTGTTTGACTATTCTTAGAACGAGTCAGGGAACCAACCCAACTCACTAGTTCAGCGTCTCAGGTAAACTGAGGCACAGAGAGACCGACTGTCCTGCAGTCACTCTCCAGTCAGCAGGAAACCTGGGAACAAGTCAAGTCTCCTTGTCCCCAACCCCTGGTTCCAACCCTTTACCCTCCACTCCTTCTTTTTCCATGGACTCGAGGGCCTGTGGGAGGGATCACCTTCCCGGACTCGCCCACAAAAGCCAGAACCACTGAGCTGCCGTGCAGTGTTCCCGATGCGATGGGACATCATGGCTTCTGAGGCTCAGGAGGGCCCCTGTGGCCTGGGGGAGGGGTGTGGGGGGGCAGGAAGGAGGCCCAGGGAGAGAAGACTGTGCGCACACCTGTATTATTGCTGTCCTGGCCGCCGCCACCCGAGGACTCCAGTGTCTCCAGGAAGGTCTCCAGCGGGACATGGACCAGGGACTCCCCGACGCCATCTCGGGCTCTGCTGTGTGGAGCTGTCACCACGGCTGCTGTTGTCTCTGGGGGCCGGGGCAGGTCCCCTGCTGGAGAAGAGGCGGTAGGGTGGGGGGGAAGCGCATCCGTCTGTCGGGCCATCCGGGCACCAGCACCCCCTCTAACCCTGCCCTCCCCCTCCCCCGGCCAGCTCCGCCCCCACCTACCATCCGTCAGCAGCTCACAGCTGCAGGAGGCCACTCGGCTGGCCAGGCAGCCTCCCCGGGTGCAGGACAGCTCAGTGTCTTCCTCACTGTCCCTGCGAAGGCAGGAAGGCACAACTGTGTCCTGCCATGGGACTCAGACCCCAAGCACGGGCTGCTCGCGGAGCCCCCAGTGATGGCTGACAGTCCCCATGGCCAGCAGCAGCCCTCTCCTGCTCGTCTGGGTCCCTCTGCCTCCACGTCCCTCTGTCCCAAGCCATCAGCTTGCTCTGTGGCCACCAGGGACATGCCTGGGCCAAAAGGAGAGGTCTCCGAGTGGGTGCAGTCCTCCTTGAGGCCACATGAGTCCTTCCCACTGACCCACGAGGGGCTGGCCTCCTCCTGGGACCCCAGGGGGTGTCCCTCAAATGATGGCAGCGCAGCTCCCTTCCCTGCCATGGCCTTTGCCTCCCTGTCTGTGACACGAGGTGCCTGGGACCCAGCCAGTTCCAAAAGACTGCAAAGTGAGGTTCACCTTCACAGGGGCTGGGGGAAGAATTTGCAGGGTAGATGGCTGGGGGGCAGTGGCAGGGGACGGATCACAGCCATTTGGGGGATGGGGCAGGGAAGGGGGGCCTGGAAGGCACTCAGGCCTTTAATTGCACTTCCTCAAATGAAGCTGTTAATTAGAAAGCAGCAGCCCCTCCCCCCGGGCCTGGCTCACCCCATTAGCCAGAAGAGCCAAATGCTCGGCTGTTGGCCGGCCTGCCCCTCCTACTCCCGGCCTCGGGATCGCTCCTGGATCATGAAGCCAGGCTCCCCGCTGTTCCTCCTCACACAGCTGCCCAATACTGCCCTCTGCTCATTACTAGCCATGGCTCCCCATTGCCCCCGACCTACCAGCTTCCCAGGCTCTCATCACAGCGCCCCCCTTCAGCTCTACGCCTAGCTGCCCAAAGGCCTGGACATCCCCTGCGCCCCTCCCAACTTTGGCTGGGCGGTCCCCTCTGCCTGGCTCAGGCCGGAGGAGGAGGGGAGTACTTCTACCAGTATACCTTCTCTGAGCCCCAGGGCCGGATTCAGGGCCTTGCCTCTGTTCTGCCACCTCTGGCCCTTTGGGCTCGCCCTGCCACTGCCCATGTCCTAGTGCTCTCAGATTCCTCTGGAGTAAGGACAAGTCCCAGTCCGACTTTCTTCCAGCTCCCTAGGCCCTGGCCCTGTGGAGCAGGCTCCAAAGAGCCGATTGGGGCTGGGGGTCCGGATGAGCCTGGCCAGGACTGCCATGAGAAAACCCATCTCCCAAGCTCAGCTCCCGCCCTCACCAGAAACCTCACCCTGTAAGGGCGGGGGGACCACGGGGCACTACCCGGCCAGGCCCCCACCCCATCCACCCATCCTGGGGCCACCTGGGCACTCACCCGGGGTCCACGCAGCCCTGGATATCAGCCACCCATGAGTGCTTCTGCAGTGAGTCAATGGTCTCCAGGATATACTCAGCTCCATTCTCGACCTGCGGAGGGGGTGGCCGGGAGTCCAGCCCTCAGCACAGGGCTGCAGACTCCAGGGCAAATGGCTCATCCCACCCCTCCACCGTGGGGGCTCACCGGTGCGGGCAGCAGGGAAGACAGTGTGGTCACCATCGGGCACCACCCCAAGCCCAGGCCAGGGTCCCCGGGGCAGAGCCTTGGCCGCACTTTCAGCAGCCCCTCCCTCCTGGGCCCAGCAGTGGGGATCATGGGGGATGATGTCCAGCCCCACTGAGCTCAGGTCCTCGGGCCCTGGAGATGCAGCCTCTGAGGAAGCCACGCTGACCTGGTACCCCGGAGATGGGGTGAAAGAGCATCACAACCCTCAAGTCCAAGAAGGGCCGGCTGGCCTAGCACACGGAGCTGAGGGGCTCCCACACCTTAGGGCCTGGAACTCTACCTCTGTGCCCCATGCCACTGGGACAGGCAGTGCGCAGAGCGTCACCCCGCCCACATCTGATGACCTCTTCCTGACGGCCCTGTGAGGGAGGCGGTAGGTTTTCCCCACTTTACAGAGGAGAAGACTGAGGGTCAGAGAGGTCGGGTGACTTGCTCACACCCGCACTCAGGGGCAGCGCCGGGACCCGAACCCAGATCTCCGTGATGCCAAGGCCCCGGGCTCTCAGCTTCGGGTGTGTCTCCGGTGAAAATGCAGTTGCTGCCTCCCAGCAGCTCAGAGCTGGGAGGGGCCTCAGAGACCACCTTCCACCCCTGTCTGACTAGATGGGGAAACTGAGGCCCAGAGTGGGGCTGGCAGGTGAGCCCCTCTGCCTCGGGGCTCCTGGGTGCCGTGGGCAGCACGGTGGCCAACCGGCTGTCGGGGACGAGGCTCTGGGCCTGCCTCACCCAGCAGACAAGAAAGCCAGGCAGGGAGGGACTATGTCCTCAGCCCCCGGGGGCCTGGGGTGACTCAGGGTACGAGGTTGGCAAATGTTTGCTAAATGAATAAGGGAGTTTCGTGGCTAAATAAACAAGGATGAGTAAAACATAAACCCAACGAGGAGCCTGAAGAGGAGGGTGGGGGCTTCACGCCTCTTGGGGTGGGTGGAACCAGGCCTCCTTGGGGCCTTGGCTTCACCAACACCCAATGCTTCGAGGAGGCCCAGGGCCACAGCCCTGGCAGCCTGGAGCCGTGTCCTCAGCAACCCAAGCAGGCCACCCTGGCGAGGTGGAGCCTGGGAAAAGGAAGAGAGCTGCCCCCAGACCCACCGGGGTGCCTCCCCGCCCACCCTCCATTGCCTTTGTGCCCTCCGTGGGACCAGGCAGGTTCCCACACTCCAGTGCCCAGGGACGGGGGCATTTGCATAAGTGCTGCGGGCTGTGGGGTGGGTATATGCTGGTTCCAGTTGGGGAAGGGAGGCAAGGAAGTGAAACTCAGGGGAGCTTCACTGGGCCAGGGGGAAACGGGAACGGGGGGCCCCGAATGGTGGGTGACACCCAGAGCCCGCGGCGCTATAGCCCCAGGCCCGGATTCAAGGCCTAGCTGTGTGCCAGGCGTCTGCGGCCGGTCCAGGGCCCTGCGGCAGGCTCCTCGCCCTCTCTCCTGCCGCGGTAGCCTCTGGCTGTGCTGCCCAAGGCGGAGGTGGCCTGGGGCGGCCGGGGGATTTGTGGGGCCGGGGGTGGGGCTCACCTTGAGCACAAACGTATTGTCTTTTTCTGGCATCTCCAGGGGCATCGTCGTGCGGACCTCGATGATGGCCGAGAGAGGGATGCTGACCTTGGGCCTGGAGGCCTGGGAGGCGAGAGGAAGGGGCAGTGAGAGAGTCACCCAGGGTCTTCTGAAAGCCTCTGCACCCTCCCACCCCTCAGAGGTCAGAGCCGCCCTCAGCTTGGAGCACCAAGGCAGCCCTGGCTCTTGCTCACAGGTGGGTAAGTTGAGGGAGTTTCTGGGAAACAACGGGACCTCCCCACACAGTCACGTCACAGACAGAGCTGGAACCCAATTCTGAGTCTCCCACCTCTGAGCCCTGAGGGGAAAATTCCACCCGGGCTGCCCTCCTGCCCTGCGTACCTACCATGTCTGTAGTTTTCACATTTTTGACCCCGACCCAGATGCGATAGATTTGACATCGTGACCCACTACATATGTACTTAGTTAAGAAGGTCTCTGAAACGTCTCACCAGACAATATTTATCCTGTGTGTGATGGAGTAAGCGAATTTCTAGTCCATCCTAGTTCATTTGAGAAAAAAAAAAATGCTGCTCTCCCCCTTTAGAGCAGACTTTCCAGAGCATGGCTCTGGGGTCCCTGACTTAGAACAGGACTCCTGGAGAGGGGCAGGGCTGTGTCCCCGGGTGGAGGAAAAGGGACCAGTGTGGGGTTGAACCAAGGTGAGCTGTCAGGGCTCCCAGGGAGGGCCGCTCTGTGTTAGGCCCTCCCCACTCTGCTCCAGGGCTCCTGGCCACGGCCCTAAAGTCCCCCAGGGCTGGCTTGAGATTGAGCTTCCCGGCAGGGCTTGGGCTCCAGAACAGGGACTTTCTCTGGAGGAAAAGGGAAGGGCCGCACGCTGGGTGGGCAGGCTGATGGGAATTCCTGGTAGCACTGGCCGCCAGCCAGTGGGGGCAGGGCTGGGCTTGGAGCAGGGACTGAGGGCCTCGGTGGACCAGGGCAGGCCATCCTGCTGGCCAGCGGGGCCGGGGCTCAGGGTCCCGGAGTAGGGAGAACAGACACAGATGGACGGTGCCGGCCTGGTCTGGGGGCTTTAGCTGGGCTCCCGCTGGCCGGAGGGGCCGATTCCTGCGCCCGGCCTTCGAGACGCGGCTGTCCGAGCTCAGTGAGTGGCCTCTGACCCTATCCAGCCACACTTCATCCTTCCCATTCCCTGGCCAGGGCCGGCAGGCGGTGCCACCCCTCTGGAGCTGAGGCACGAGTGGTGAATGGTAGGACGGGCGAGACTTTTTAAAAGAGAGGTCCCAGCTGCTGCACCCCTTCCCCCAAGGGCAGCGGACGCTATTTACGGCCGGGCAGCTGTAACTGCCACTCAGGCCCAGAGGCATTGAGCCCTGGGCCTCTGTCCTTGCCCTTTGGGCGACTCTGGGCCAGCCCCACCCCGCCTGCCCTACTCACCGGGCCTCGGTCTCTGACAAGTGGTGGAGCTGGGCTTAATGGTCTAGGATTTCTCTCAGGGGCCTAACGGTGGGGGCCTGGCAGGCAAAAATCCTTTGGGAAGTCGGGGTCCTATGACTCAAGGGAATAAGTGTGTCCCCGGGAAATCATCTCTCCAGAGTCCACGCAGCTCGTGGGCGCCCAGCCTTGGGGAGCCCACACCCTGCCCCTCCAGCGGAGAGAGAGGCAAGGAGGTGCACCCAGAGTCTGACAGCCTGGGAGATGGAGAGAGGCGAGAGGCTCAGGGTGACTAAAGGTGCCGGGGAGTAGGGAGGGCCGGGGGGGGGGCGGCGAGGGAGGGCTGGGTGGTTCTTGGGGTGCTGCCAACTGCCGCACCAGCACAACCTCCCACCTTTCCGAACCTCCCAGCACACAAGTAGCTCCCACCTCCACGCTCCTCCATTCTCAGGACCACCAGGGTGGTGGGTATAATTAGCCCGGCTCTGCCACCCACCAGCTCTGTGACTCTGGGCAGGCCACACCTCCTCTCTGAGTATTCCTTTGTTCTCTCTTCCATGACCTGGGGATTGTGATGCCCACCCTGTGGGGGGCCTGGGGGGATGAGATTATGCACCAGGCTTAGGGCTCGGTATGCCGTGTGCCCTCAGAAAATGGGCACTATTGTTACAATTATTCCCACTTTCCCAACAGGGCAGGTGTGCCACCGGGGAGGAGGCCCATAGCCGCCCCCAGGGCTCCGATGGCGAGCCCCCAAGCTGGGGAGGGGGCATGGTGCACTCAGGTGAGCAGCAGAGCTGGAGACAGCTAGCTTAGCTTTCAAAACCTGGGCCAGGTAAGGGCCACCCACCAGGGGCTGGGCTGCAGCCTGGGAGCTGCACCGGGGACCGACACATTTCAGGCGCCCTCCCTGTTTGGGAGGCTCCAGCCACCCAGGAGCCCCGGATGAAGGATGGAGGAGGGCAGGCCGCCCTGGCACCCTCAGTTGCCCCCCACGCTGGGCCGGGCGCTCACCTTGGGTGGCACGAAGAACTCGAGCCGGAAGCGCTCGCCGGCCACCGCCCTGCGCAGGAGCAGGCGACACTTCTGCCACTGGGCCGTGCCGCCCGGGCCCGTGGCTGCGTCGTCGGCCACCATGAAGCGCAGCGCGCCCTCGCGCTGGATGTCCACCAGCTCCACCTTGGCCGCCAGCGTCCGCGACAGCCGCAGGCGCCGCGTC